GTTGGTGTTGCCACTGTGCAACAAAAAAAGGGGCAAGATTGAAGTTCAATTTGGAGTCTGTCTGTGTGTCTGTGTGTGGGTGTGTGAGGGAATGCAAAGTGGCAGTTGCCTAGTCGGGATGGAGGTGATGTCGGGTCGGGTCGGGTGGGTGAAAGGAAATGGCAGACTGCTGCAGCGTTGAAATGCCAGCAAAAGAGTTTAAGCCCAGCCAAGCGGAGCACTCAAGAGGCATTAAGACAGAGACAGGAACAAGATGAAGATGAAAGACAGAGAGAGAGAGAGAGAGAGAGAGAGAGAGAGCCAGGAATAGGAAATGAAACAAAGACAAAGACTAAAGCGAAACGAAAATCGCTTTCAAAGCGTCTACAATGGAATGGAAAGGGCTTTAATAAGCCCTCCCCAGGTGGAGCTGAGGAGCTGTGGAGCTCGCTCCCCCACAGGCAAACTTTGGTTTCGTTTCCATGGTTTACTTACAATTTAAGCTCCGTGGTTGTAGCCTTAAATTTGCAGCAACCACTGCACCACCATGTATCTCCCTGGAGTGCATACACAGAGCATACGCGATTGCTCTCTGGCCAACAACATTGTTACTTGCATTACGCTAATGAGCTTATCGGGGACCCAGAATGTAACTAATGAAGGGACTCGTCGGCAGATGTGTTTACATTTATCTGAAGTTGGGGTTCAAGTGCCATGGCAACGGATGCGAATCAGGAGGTTATTTGAAGAGTTTTCAAAGAGTTTTGCCAGCAGCAAATTACATCTAAGCAAATCCAATTAAAATCCCAAAGATTCTGTGCCTTTAAATGGAACTTCATCCTGCAAAATTTGAGCAGTTAGAAACCAATGAAATGGTGAAGCTCCTCCCAACCACAACTAAACTTTAATCCACACAACAAACTATTTTCCATGATGAACCAACAAAATATAGTCCCCTCATAGATAACTAAGTCCTTCCTCCGGCTCACCTTTAGACAGAGCACTTCCTGATCCACAATCTAATCCGGATTACCCAGCGTATCATCCTGGCTTTCCCTGGCTGCCCTTTCACACATTAGCTCTGAGGGCCGTGGGGGAAAACTTTTGCTGCACATTGCTCTAATTACTTGGCCCCTGCGTATGCATAGCAAAACAATTTGAAAGTCAGACGGATGAGAGATAGAGGGAAACCGCACAAATTTCAGGCACACAATCGTTGGACGTTGGCAGGACGAAAACAGGAAACATCAGAGAGTGACAGAGAGGATCCTAGGACGAACATTTAACAATTTTGCAGGAACAATATTCAATTTCCGACTGTCTAATAAGTTTTTGGCCAGCACACCACACACACACACAAGCACCTCCCATACCAGAGGAGTTGGGCCATGTAATAAGCCAACTCGAAACGTCTGAGCTGTCTATCCATTCGTCGCCCCCAGACTCAGACTCAGACCCAGACTCAGCCCATAGCCCATAGCCCACATCCCATCCCAATCCGACAAAAGTTCCATTACTCAAACCAGGAGAGCAGAGAGCGACGCAACATTTTCCTTTAATTTCCTTTTTAGTTTTTTCCCCGACGCCAAAAACTAACTTGCCCCGCCCTGCCCAGACCTTGGCTCCAGCCAGAATATTGTCAGTCAGCTTAAAGTCTGGCATTCTATATCTATATGATGTGTATGTAAGAATGGAGCCCTCAACTTTAATGAATACCCGCGGGCCAATGCAAACACAAATGTAACGGCTAACGGGCCATATAAAATGCATTTCGAGTAACAAACTTTAAGCACTGCGAACGCGTTCATTTGGGAACGACACGGATGCTCCCCAATGCGGATGGGGGTCTGGATGGCACGACAATTGTGGGCGAATAGTTGAGGGCCCTGTCAGCCCCTTCCCACGGGGTTTTGGCTGTGAGTCGACTACGCCACTAAAAGAGTAAGTTTATGCGCAAGAAATCATGAATTGTGTGGCAGTAAAAGTTATGATAACCATGAAGCAAGTGAAGCACCTTTTTTGTTATAGAAGAGAAGTTTTGTGTGAAGCAGCATAGTAAAATAAAACACAGAAAACATCTTTAAATACCATTTTTAAATACGAAAAGAGTGAATTAAAACGAAATATATTTAAGGTAAGCATAAAAAAGTACTTTTAATTAAGAAACGTATTTATTTAAAATATGAAACATTAAAATGTAAGTGCAACAATTTCCATTCTTGCTGCCCAACAACTTATCGCGGTAACTCAGCCGCATGAACGGAAATTTTTTTTTTTATATGCAAGGCCTAAAGTAAATACGTCATGATGTCGGGCCTTTGTCGAAGTCTGCTCTATAATGCTCCCCAGCCACCCCCAGTCTTGCAAATAGGAGCAGAATGGATATTGGAAGGAGGCAGACGACGGAGAGCTTTTGCTCTGTGGGGCTGGGAGCAAACCTGCTGCGGTTTACACTGTCGCTGCCGCCGAATGCCATGGAAATGACAGACGACGTAAAAGAGTTCATTAATATTGCAAGGTATGCTGACGATGACGATGACGAGGTCTGCAGCTGAAGAGGATGAGAGGATGTGTATGGAGGTGTACGGAAGCAGAAGGAGAGCATAGAACAGATTCAGAAGGAGAGCAACAGGGACACGACAACAAAACGAGGACAACATTTTGACTGTGCGCACAATTATTTTGTAATTTGTCATATTTTTTCTAGGCCTCGGCCTACGACGAAGCGTACTACCCTACAAGACCTGTATATGGGAGGTGCGGAAATGTGAATCTGCAGTGGGCTGGAGGTAGCCGCTGCTTTTGTCCAAAATTTCAAGCAGCAAAGTCTCAGACTCAAGTGGCTTGACGGCCTACTAAATAGGAAATGATGTGAAGACGCGGCGAGAGTAGGCTGGGAAAAGAGAGGGTCTCGAAGCAGTGCCTCAGTGAGGAGGGGGCTGGATCCGTGCCTACCAACCCAACTGCATAATTGTTTGTATTTTACGCTTTACATGAAAGCTAAGCAAATCTTTTGTTACACTGTCTAACAGAGCACCAAGCCTCCTTGGACCCTTAGCCCCCCCTCTCTGCCACAGCAGCCACCCCTGTCTCTTCTCATTCTGCACTCCCCCTTTTGTTGGCCTTATGCTTTGTGTGCATATTCTAAACATGGCGGCGCCTGTCGGGGGCTACCTCAACCTACTTTCACTAAGACTTTAATAGTGCCTTCCCTCCCCCCACGCAGAACATGCCTCTGTCCCTCCGGCAGTCAGTCAACAGTGGGGAACATTCAGGCAGTTTTCTTACTGTTATGTTCTGCCTGTTTGCCTAGCCTTCGCTCCTCAGATCACCCCTTTGGGTGTGTCCGTGCCACCTCATAATTATACACTACCAAAACGGAAAGGGTACAAGTTTTCTTTATCATATTCCATCTAGGTGCAGAAAGTGTTATTGAAATGTTATTGAATGCTGTCAACCAAATGTATAAAAATATGCCATTATTTATTAATTATTTATATAAATATCTCTCTGTATTTTGTGCATTAGGCCTGCCTTAAATATTCCTAGAGTATTCCTCTCTTTGAACATTGTTACTTTTTACTTTTTACTTTTGTTTTGTGTTTTTCCTTTTTATATTTTTGTTGCCTCTCATCGTGCATTTTTATATGCAGTAGTTTCTGGGCAGTTTCCCACCTCTCCACGGACCGACCGACCAACCGACCGACCCTTGTCCATTTCTTTGGTTCTTCCGCTGCTGCTGCTGCTGCTGCTGTTTCTTCCATCATTTCGTGCACAATTTTTGTTTGTTTTTATGCAGTTGTTTTTGTTAAATTACATGCACACACCGACACACACATATACACCCAGGCACATGCACATGCACATGGACAGAGACAAATATTTATTTAAAACTTATGCCCGAGGCCTTTCATTACAGTGCACGTTAAAAATATATTTCTCTCTGCCTCGGTGCTCGGTTCTCGCTTCTCAGTTCTCAGTTCTCATTTCTCAGTTTTCTGTTCTGGTTTTGTTTCTTTTCATTTCACTCTCTCATCTCTCCTTGTAGTTATTTCCCTCTTATTCGTTTGCCTCTTTTATGTTTTATTTTTACTTCTTTCTTTCAGGATTTTTGGTCCATGGCTCCATTAAATGGAAATTTTGTATATACTTTCAATGCAGCCGCGGGCTGGGGGGGGAAAGAGCAGAAGACGAAGGAACTATAGAGGCTGGCAGCATGCCTCACAAAGCCTTCGCCTAGTTAATTTACTCACCCAACACCTACCCCACCAGTACGCCCTCCAATTATGACGTCTACCGGAGTTTTAATTAGTCCTCTTACTCCACTGCTACCACCCCCACTCTCTGCCCCTCCTTTGTATTGTATTTGTGTGTGTGCTTGTGTGTGTGTCCTTGCGTCGGGGCCTTTGTCTTTGCCCCCAAACGAAGCGAAACGAAAAAAATGCATTATGAGGTGGCAACAAATAGCCAAAGTTGTTGAAATTTGTATGCGATTTACTCGCTGAATTATTTTAAGTTGCAGCGCTCGAGGATCCCTCTAGACTCTGGAGGAGCAACGTGGAGCAAATAGGAAAAGAAAATGGGAACGGGTCAACGAAGTTTCTTTGGAAAAGTATAAATGAAAAAAAAATGGGGAATCCAGAAAGGCAGGAACTGAAGGGAACAAAAGATATAAAAATCTGTTTATTATTTTGATTTACTTGAGCTCTTGTCGATCGCTAAGACTTTATACTGGTACATAAGATGGAAGATATTTATTCTAATTTATTTCTTATAAATCAATTCATGAGTCACAGCATTGATTGAACCTATGGCGGCATTGCGCCAAACATAATCAAAGCCCTCCCTGTATATCATACTTTTAATATTGCTCGATCATGACTTGGGTTCTTCCCCGTTTACGTTTCTCGTTATATATTTAAATCAAATTAATCCCAGAAATGATGTGCCCATCATTGATCCATAAACCCTCATGCGAGTATTATTATCTCTGGCGTTTATTTTACGGCCAAAACACTCACCTGTCAATGCATTAAATTTCACTTTGTTTCAATGTTGTTAATTAGTTTGAATGTTTTTCCTGTCTGTCCGACTGTTTGTTTGTTTATTTGTTGCTTGTCTGCTTGTTTTTGCTTTGCTGATTCGCGCGAGTGTTATTTGGGCGCCAAAAAGTACAGTCACTCACACAGGAATAAAACACGCGGCAAAACACGCACGCACACACAAACACACAGGCACACGCACAGAGAAAGCAAAATGCTATTAGCTTTCGAAACTGTTGTCTCCCCTCTGCACTCTCTCTCACTCTATCTCTCTCTCGGTCTGGTGCTCTTTCTCTCTGGCTCCGTGTGGATTGTTGTCTGGGATGTTGATTGCGGTTGGCGGCCTTTTGGATAATGCACTTGATCCGCTGTTTGCTGCTGTGGGCGCTGGCGGGGGGGTGGGCGGAGCCTGTTAATTTTTGGCGTAAATCTCTGCTGGTTATCTGTGTTCGGAAATGGTCGATTTCGGGTCTGCTGATTGATTGAGAATGCTGAAAGCGCACACGGGGCCCAAGGAGCACACAACTTGTCTGAGCGGAATTGCACAAATAACTGAATTGAAATATCCCCCCGCGAAACGTGTAGCGAGCAAGGGCGACAGAGAAAGAGAGTGAGAGACCCAACAGCAGCAGCAAGGGCGAGAGCGAGAGAGCATGCATTCGCTTATTTTCGTTCAAAAATTTCTTACAAAATTTCCTAAAAACCCAACATTCCCATCCCCATCCCCATCCCCGTACAGGAGGTGTGTGTGCAGTTGTACAACCCCACTCGAGTGCATTTTAATTGATTTTTTCTTTACTTTTTTGTTCGTCCCCCAGAGCGAGACGGACTCAGCGTGCTCATCTCTCTCTCCGGCCCATGCGGCGTATGCGTAACATTTTCAGCTGCACTTTTGCATCCGTCGTTGCCCCTCGTTGCAACAAACAAGTTTGAGTGAGTTTTCCCTGTACCCGTGTACCCGTGCACCCCTGCACGGAGTGGATTCTCTGCGGGGTGATCTCTTCTAGGTCACGGCTCTCATCTTCATATTTTGCAAGTTTTAATTAGCTTTTCCATTTTTTAGTGCATTTCTGACAGCAAACAAAAGTTGCTGCTGCATCAAATTTTTAATTAATTACATGTAAAACTGTTTGGCAAATTGGAAAAGTATCCAAAAAGGGGGGATGGCTCGGACATTTTCGGACAAACAATTAGCATTTTACTGTCCCAAAATTATAACAAACACAAAAAAAAAGAGGGAAATGAATAAAAACGAAGCGAAAGGAACGAAAAGTTTAATGAAGTTTTGTGAAGGATAGCTTTCATTTTTGTGTCCAGGGGATGGGGAGAAGGTGCAGAGGTATAGACAAACTTTTTAATATGAAAATTGCTCGTTTGGGGCAAGTAAATTAAGTGACGGGGATTGGGTCCTGGGGAAATGCGTCCTTTTCCGATTGATTCCAACCACTGAGATAAGGCCAAATGGGGGGACAATATGGGGGCATTAAAGGGTTTCTCTTATGAAAATTTAGATGGTATGTTTGGAGCATGAATTACTATGAATGCAATAATCTCGCATATGAAGAAAGGTTGGGTAGATTTAGAGGAATCACTCAACAAATATCATTCAATTCCATTTAACTTGGATGGAGTGTAGAGCAACATTCATGCTCGAATGCTTTAAGGGCAAAATAAAGGGACTCGTAGCTAGTGGCTCCAGATAAAAGAACACCAAGAATTAACCATTCAAGTCACAGTCCCAGCCCAAGAGATGTTCGGCTACTGGCTGCCTAAACTCTTTAACTCCGAGAGAAAACTTAGAGCAATCTCCTTTGAATTATTCTTTGAATATTTAGAAATACATTTTTTGAATGTATTTTATTTGTATTCATCGAACACTGAAAATATTCCTATAAGATCTTGAGAAGTTGATGGAATACTTTACCTTCGAAACAGAGCATCTTCTGGAGCTAAACCATAATTATAAATATTTTATTTTTACTAATATTAACGAGTTTGGACACAGTTTGACGATTGACCTACGATAGGAACCAACTGCAACAAAAATCGTTTGACTCACAAAGACTTTTGGTGCACTCATAACTATAACTCAGACTCAATCGGAGAACCAAATGCTGGTACAGGGTGCTTCGAAATCAGTGCTTGAGCAGGCTGGGGCATGCGCAAACAAGACCAAGCTCGATGCAGATGCAACTCAATGGCTGGAGAGCAGCAACAATGCAACACCTACGCAGCACAAAAGCACACCTGGAGAACCGAAAGTAGAGAAAGAGAGAGGGAAGCCAAAAGATAGAGATGGCGAGAGAGAGAGAGAGGGAGAAATGCCAGCTGCATGGAAACCCAAAGGCTCGACAAGAAGCAGAATGGCAATTCTATGACATTTGTTATTGTTGGCCAGTGTTATCACACACACCAACACAAATGAGCACCACGGTATGGGAAAAAAGGATTTAAAAATTTATGAATGAATTTTCGTATACTTTTTTGTACACAACTTTGGCAAGTTTTCACTGCCCCCTCTCTGCCACTCTCTCTCTCTCTCTCTCTCTCTCTCTCGAAGTGTGGGCTTTGGAAAATTGCATAAAATATTGTGACTGGTAATTTGTCAATGTACAAGGGCGAGGAGACAGAAAGAAATTAGCAAGTTGATAGATGGCAGATAATCCATGGCAGATTGTGTGGAAATTCCCAAGCATGCCGCCATGCATGACGGTAGAGGTAGAAGTCCTTCAGACTAAACTCTCGGTCAGTGCTTAAACTAAATAGACAAACGCCAAAAGAATTATAATTATTGACCTCATTTGAAGGGCGTCGATGAGCATTGACCATCGCCGCCGCCAGGCAATGAACCTCAAAGAGTGGAAACCACCCGAACAACAGCCACATGACTAAGCGGACCATCAAACAATTTTAAGGCTAATGACTATGTTTATGCGGACAACTGCTGAACCCCGCGGCCACAAAAACCCTAAAACCCAGCCTAACTAATTGAAACTGAGAGCAAAACGGTTATCAGAATTATACTCGTTTCTGGGGTAAACAACTTGTAAACAAATATTGCCAAATGCTCATGGAAGTATTTACGGTTTACACAATATATTGTAAAAGAACGTATACGCCGCTGGGGTCATGCACGAATGAGCAAACAGCCAGCGATGAGCAATGCTTGATGGGCGGGCGATTAAGCGCCATTAAAAAAGCGTTTTATGGTTTGGTAAAAATCACGAAATATACCAACGGGGGCAAACTCTATAAAATCAGTTAGTGCCAGAGGTTTTGCATTCAGTCTGCGTTCGAGGATTACACACAAACCAACCAACCAACCAGCCATAATGTCAGCAAAAAACACAAGAAGTTGCCTGCTCTGGCTGGGACTGCTCCTGTCGGTCACATTTCTGCAGATGGTTCAGTGTCAGTATTATGGATATCCGTACTACGGTGGTACGGGAGCAGGTGGAGCGGGAGGTGGCTATGGAAATGGCTATGGTAGTGCCTATGGTTACGGGTATCCCAGCTACGGCGGATATCCCTACTACTCATATCCGGGCTACAATCCCTATTCGATCTACGGCCAATATGGGCAATACGGTCAATCACAATATGGTTATCCCGGCTACGGCGGCTACCCTTACGGCGGAGGCAACGGAATGAGTAAGTAGAAATTCATGTTAATCTGCCTGAAATTCTCTTAATCTTGCCGACTGCAATCTACAAGTGTTTTGGGCATGTTTTTTCTTATAGACACGGCCTATGCCAGCAGCAGTGGCGGCTTTGCCTCAGCCAGTGCGGGGAGCGGCGGATACTACGGCTGATCCTAGAGTGATATTATCCTATTATCCTAAGCTAACTAGACTGTACATATTGGTTAAGTGTTTTCCTATTATGCATAGATGTGTTTAGGCACGAATAAATATGTAAATAATATTCCCAGAGCTTCTGCAATTTCAAATTTGAGCGCGCCAGTCGATACCTAGGCCAAGTGTTGTAAAGTGTGCAGTGCCAGAGTTGCAAACGGGTTGTCGATAGCAGGGTGAGTTTCGCTGAATATAAAGGAAAGTCATAATTTATAATATAAGGAGAAGGAAAGAAGTTATTTCAAATAAAACCGGGTATTTCTGTGTCATATTTGAAACGCAAAGATGAGTCGGGAGAGTGTTGAATATATCGATGTATCGTCTGACAGGAGAGAATTTCCCTAACCATCAAGAGAGCGCGCAACTAGCTATATTTTGAATTGAAGGCTTGCGAAGCTTTTTTATTACCCTAACGTGTTAAACGCCGGTGTAATTTACCTTGCAGCGATACAATTTTTGTGACGTTTGTGCCTGTTGTCGACGTTTGTGCCTGTTTATCTCACCAATTTCGTACCAATTTTAAAAAGTTCAAATAAAAATTTGTTAAATATATGGGCATAAGGCATACAATGAGCATTTATAATAAGCTAAATTGATTCTTCAATCGGGTTAAATTATTGTTTCAGTGTTAAAAGTCTTTGCAAGCTAGTAATATCGAATAGAACATCAATATCGAAACAGCCAAACAAAAGCACAGTCGACAGTCGCGTTTTTGACCATATCTGCCGCCGTCGCCAGAAAATTAAAGCAAAGTAAGCGAAAAAATCAATGCAAAATTTGTGCATAGTGTTTTATTGGTAAATATAGTGAAAGTAAGGGTCGCAAAACGGCCAACCAGCCAACAATAAGAGGGAAGCAAAGATGCAAACATTGCATTGCATAATGGGACACAATAGCAACAACAACAACAAGAGGCAAACAGGCTAAAACAAAGTGAATTGAAGTGTGCATGTGTGCGTATGTACAGCTGAGTAACGAATTTGTGTTGTACGTTTTACTTGGCCTCAAAAATCTACTTGTGACTTGTTCTTGTTTTGTTGGCCATTTTATTATTATTCTACCGATAAATCTACATGAACATGTAGAACAAACAACGTACATACACACATGAAAACATGAGTATGTCGTCTGTAGTCACGTACAGATGGTATGTATTGGTAAAAATCAATCGGCTTCAGCTTTAATTGCATTTTATTAAAAACACTTGCCAATCGACGAACAATGCAAAAATGCTTGCTCCATATTTTGTTCTACCCTTCTCTTTCTCTTGCTGCTCACGCGCAAGTACATCTACTGTTGCCGCTCTCCCCGCTGGTCCAGGTTGCTTAATTTCATAAATCAAGGCAGATAGTTAAAAAAACAACAAGAACTGCCTTTGGCATAAGCTCCAATGCTGACGTTGCCCTCCTTTTATGTTCGTACATACTGTACATTCATACATACATATGTATGTACATAAGTATATCGGTATGTTTCGACAATAGGAAATTTCCGTGGCTAACGCACAGTGGTCAAACTATTCAAAGCGAGCAGCCGATAATGAAATTAAGTCCCTCTAGTTCTTCCCCATTTCAATAATACGCCGGCTGAGTTTTTCTGGATTATGGCACTACAGCGGTGGTGAATGAAAGCTAAAAATGTTGTGTCTATAGCCGAATGTTTACAATTAACATCAGTGTTTGCAAGCATCCGCTCCACTGTGCAGCGCAGACAGAACAGCTGATGCTTGTCAAATTTTGCTCTTGTATGTATGCAAGCAAGTTCTAGTGCTTGTGTGTGGGTTCGTTTGCATGTGTGTGCGAGCAAGAGACAATTTAGATACCGAGAAAAAACTTGCAGAGTTTATTCAGTGTTAATTCGCGCTACAAAATCGACTCAACTGGTTCATACAAAATGCAAGTACATAAAATTACTTGATCAAGTGTAGCCTTATCTTGGTTTAGGCCCGGGGGTGTGTCGGTCTCTTCACGTTTGGCTGCTTATCAAAATCACGCGACGGTGACGCTGCCGCTGCCTCTGCTGCTGCTCGCGCGACTCAGCCGAGCAAAGTAGACCCCCAATGAAATTTCAAGGCTGCGCTGATAAATGAAAACTAATCAAATGTATTTCGTTTCGTTTCATTTTCTACCTTTCGCCTGCCGCTGTGCTTATCTCACAGATAGCTAAATTCTAATTGAACCGAAATTGCCGCGGACACCGACGACGACACCAAAGCTTATATAACAAGGCAGAAACCGAGACAGGCCCCTCAAACCAGTAAAAGATGTTGCGATTGCTGCGCAATACGCCCTCCAGGTGCTCCGGCCAACAGCAGAGCATAATCCAAAGGTAAGTGGATTTTCAAGTTGAAAGAGAGCTCCATATAACGCCACTTATCTTCCGGTAGCCATGTGCGAAGTCTGGGCTCTGCGATTCCGGAGCTCAAGCTGAAGGACTTTAGTGTCGAGAATGAGCCGATTCTGAGCTACCGCAAGGATTCACCGGAGCGCAAGGCCTTACAGCAGGCTCTGAAGGCAACGGCCTCCCACTGCGAGGAGATTCCCATTGTGATAGGCGGCAAGGAATTCAAGACGTCCGAAGTGCGGCATCAGGTGATGCCCCACGATCATGCACACAAGCTGGCCCGATTCTACTACGCCGATAAGAAGCTTCTGCAGCAGGCCATTAAGACTGCTGTGGAAACGCAGCCCAAGTGGGATCGGGTTCCGGTGACCGAACGCCTGAATATCTGGGAGAAGGCCGCAGATCTGATGGCCACAAAGTACCGACAGGAGCTAAATGCGGCCACCATGTTGGGACAGTCCAAGACGGTCATTCAAGCCGAAATCGATGCGGCGGCAGAGCTGATTGACTTTATACGGTAAGTGGAGAAAATGAGCACTCAAAGGAATCGGATTCTAACCATTGCTGTGCAGATTGAATGCCTACTTCCTGAAGGAAGTCTGTAAATATCAGCCCATTAGCGAGGACATCAAGGTCACCAAGAATTCCCTGCGTTACCGTGGCATTGACGGCTTTATTGCCGCAGTCAGCCCCTTCAACTTCACGGCCATTGGTGGCAACCTATCCTACACTCCCGCTCTGATGGTAGGACGAACCTAGCCCTAAAATTGTAATCAATTAAACTAACAGCTGTGCCCTTTCCCATTATCCAGGGCAATGCTGTGCTGTGGAAGCCCTCTGACACGGCCATGCTTTCCAATTGGCGCATTTTCAATATCATGCGAGAGGCGGGAGTGCCCGATGGCGTTGTTAACTTTGTGCCAGCAGATGGGCCTGTGTTCGGAGACACGATTACTGCCAGCCCCCACCTGGCAGGCATCAATTTCACCGGCTCTGTGCCGTAAGTAGCAGTCGGATTATTGATTTCTTCTCTATATGTATATTTTTCCATCTGGCAGAACATTCAACCGCTTGTGGAAGCAGGTGGGCAACAACATTGACAACTACATAAACTTTCCCCGGTTGACTGGCGAGTGTGGTGGCAAGAACTTCCACTTTGTGCACAAATCGGCGGACGTCGAGTCGGTGGTCACATCGACTATCCGCTCGGCCTTCGAGTACTGCGGACAGAAGTGCTCGGCATGCTCGCGCATGTATGTGCCCGAGTCTCTGTGGCCACAGGTTGGTTGCTTGGCGAAGCACCATTCAGCACACCAATTGCCCCCTACTAATCTATTTGACCTGCCACCTCTCTCCGCAGATCAAGGCTGGCCTGCAGTGCGAGGCGGAGAAACTAAAAATAGGCGATGTCCAAGACATCAGCAGCTTCTCATCGGCTGTCATCGATGACAAAGCATTTAAACGCATTACCAGCTACATAGAGCATGCCAAGAAGTCCCCGAACCTGGAGATCATCGCCGGCGGCACCTACTCGGACAGCAAGGGCTACTTTGTGAATCCCACCATTGTGGTTAGCAAAGATCCCAAAGATCGCATTATGGTTGAGGAGATCTTTGGGCCCGTGCTGACCATTTATGTGTACAAGGAGGCGGACTTGGCGGAGACCATGAAGCTGGTTCACACCTCCACAAAGTTTGCTTTAACCGGAGCAATATTCGGACAGGATGAGTGAGCGAAATCATCTGAAAAATGGGAAATATGTTCTATAATTTCTCCTTTGTATAGGAATTGGGTGCAAACTGCATTGGAGGAGTTCAAAATGGCTGCTGGAAACTTTTATATCAATGACAAGTCGACCGGATCTGTTGTGGGCCAACAGCCATTCGGTGGCGGTCGGATGTCCGGCACCAACGACAAGGCTGGCGGACCCCATTACATTCTACGCTGGACTTCCCCGCAGTCCATCAAGGAGACGTTTGTGCCACTGCGTGACGTCAACTATCCCTACATGAGCGAATAAGCTGATGGATGGATGGAGGAGGAGCCGAGAAGCAGAAGCTAAAACCGACAGGAATCTCATATAAACTACTAACTATATAAATATATATAAATGTATATGTATTTTGTTGAACTATTTTTAAACAACGCCCAAACGCCCCCACCCTGTAACACCTACCCCTAGTTCAGATAGTTAAATGTTGTGCACACACACACGAATCTCGGATAAGAGCGAAAACCCATGAGAATGCGCCTCCAAAACTGTTGTAAATTGATATGCTGATTACCCTTTTAAACCGTCACACACATACACATACACACACAACCAGAACCACATGATTATATGCCACGAATACTAATATAATATCTCGATAGAAAAGAACCTAAAGTTTTAAACGTATTGTGATTACTTAATTATATGATTTTTAATTACGTTTTGTCCGCCTTTTGTTTTTATCCTTGCGATATATTCCCCTTTTGTTTTCAGTTGTGATCTGTATTATATGATAAATATGCCTCTATATACACCACACAAACGTATGTAAAAGCAAACAAACACTTGACAATACATTTCGATTACTAAATGTGAAGAATCATAAAAGAGATAAATGGAAACTTAGTAACATACAATAAAAATACAAATAAAACATTTAAATTTCAAAACTAATGAGAATTTGTATGAAATTGTGTTTAAAATGATGTAAATTGACGCAGCAATGGGTGACAGGATCGTGCCTGTGGTCAATACTGATGCAAGCGTGCAGGCTTCCACTTGTATGTTTGTACATAAATTACTTATAGCCAAGAATTATAACTTACACATAGTTTTAAAACTGAGAGACCGATATAAAGACAAAGATTCTCCAAATAAGTCCAGACGGCAGTTGATATTCTGAGAGCTACCTATTGATGATTCAAGGACAAGGACATACTGCTACAGAAAGCAGAAAGTGCACACCGATTTGACTGGTAATACTGTGGTCTCCGCTGAGATGGTTTGGAATAACACATAATTTTCTAATTAAGACTTCTTGAAATTATACAAAAACCTCTAAATTTTTTACCAAAAACAGATTTCTCCTTTGCTACATGTGGTAGAGGATTATAAGAGTCCTCTTTCTACAGACCCAAATCCGGAAATAACAAACCGAAAAAATTAACAATACTTACAATCAATTGTATAAGAACACAACAAATTCGTCACACAATTGTAATCATTATAAATTATCCGATTTATAATTTTTAACTTATTATTTGAAGCATAAATAATGGATCAGCCAGCCGCCTGGCAAGTAACGTCCGATCGAAAATGTTCCCGCGTTCCCCCCGTTGCTAAATAATTACACTGTGTTGAAGTTGTATGCCAATTTGTACTTTCCTTTAACTTAGGATGATTTTGTTACAATGCGTGGAAAAACACAGTTTCCTTTTCATTTTAAAGTACAAATTTAGCGCAATTCGGCTTCACTTACCGAACATTTATAAATTAATACACTGCCATAAGTATATGAATGTATCTGTATCTGCATTGATGTTTTCATTAGAATTCAGATTGTATTGCAAAATGGGTTTAAAAATTATTTTTTTTGTTTGGTTACGGTTTTATTGACCGCCAGTTCTCATTTTGGATTATTTCAATTAAAAACTTAAGTTTTATATTATAAGGCGTACCGAATCGAAAGAGGGAAATGATTTTACAGAATGGCAATAGTATTATTGCATCGGCCATAATGGAACTGCTGTGTATATCGGTATAATGATGTAGAGACTACTCTAAAAAAGTTTCCTTATCTGTTACAATATAGAATATTATATATAGAGTGTGTGGGTGTGTTTGTGTCGTAAATCTAGTCAAATTTTATAGAATTGACGCCCATGTCAATTGCGCCGCCCCGATAGCTGCCGCGCTTCTTCTTGGTCTTCTCGTGCTTGAAGGACTTGCCACGGGTATGCTTCAGGTCGATATTGGCCCGTTCGCCCCAGGAGCCGGCAGCGTTTTTCTATACAGGGCAGGGGGGGGGTTTGCGTAAGTATAAAATTGTTTAAACTGATTTAATTCTAAATACATAACAAATCTGCAATCATCTGCGCATCTGTGTGTGTGTGTGCTTGTGGGTGGGGAGGGGGAGAACTAAACTAGATCTAATTGTCGAAAGTGATTTTCTTGTTCTGCTTGGGCGCTGAGGAGTCGAAGGATTTGTTGCCGAAACCACCGCCGCCGCCGCGTCCACCTCCGCCACGACCACCAAAGCCACGTCCGCCGCGGTCGCCTCCGCGACCACCACCTCCACGGCCACCTCCGAAGCCTCCGCCGCCACCTCCACGACCACCTCCGAAGCCGCCACCCCCACGTCCGCCACCGCCGCGGCCACGTCCATCTCCACGGCCACCGCCAAAGCCACCTCCGCCGCGTCCACCGCCACGTCCCTCAAATGGCTTCTTGTCAAAGCCTCCAAAGCTACGGCGATCGCCAATCTTCTTGAAACCACCTCCTTCGCCACCTTCCTCGCCTCCGTTTTGATTGTTGCTCTCCCAGGTGCTACGATCAGGACGACCGGCAAAACCGGAGCCTCCCCGGCCACCGCGTCCGTTCTGCTTCTTGAAGCCGCCGCCATCCTGCAAGGGAGAAAGGCCAAAGAGGGCAAACCACAAATTAGCAAAGATTTGCAGATGTAAAAATGCAGATGGAAAGAGTGGGGAGACGTAGGATGGCCGGCAAGTGCCACAAATGATTTGAGTTTTGTCGGGCGTATTTTCTTGCTAATTTGTGTGTTTTGCCCCCCTCCTGGCTGCTTAATCCTGCAGAGAGTCCTATGTCCTAATCATGCCCTGCTGCTGCACACACACACAAACACACATCTGACGCGACTCAAATGCATTTGCGGCACTCACCTTCGCCTCAAAGGACATGTCTTGGACTCGGGCATCGACCAGAACCTCCTCGGTCCGAACACGCCGGAAGGGAGAACGTCGTCGCCCACTCCCACTTCCACCACCGCCGCTGCTGTTCAGCTGACGACTGTTGTGGTGATTGTTGTTGTTGGGAGTGGAGGCGAAACTGTTCTGCTGTGGTTTTCCAAACAAATTAATCTCTCAATTTCATGACAAAGGATAATCATGGTGAAACGGACAAAGGGGAATGGGGAATGGGTTCCACAACTCACCTTCTGGTCTCCCGATTTGACAAAGTTGTTGTACTTCTTCTTGGGCATCTCCTCCTCATCGCCACCGCTGAACTTGCGTTTGGGGCCACCGTTGGCCACAGTCTTGGGCTTGGCTTCTCCGGAATCATCGCTATCATCGTCGTCGCTGCTTTCGGCTTTCTTGGCCGCTGGCTTTTTGGCAGCTGGCTCATCGTCGGAAGAGTCATCCGAGGACGAGTCGTCCTTCTTGGCCGGTGCCGCAGTCTTCTTCACTGCCGGCTTGACAGCAGCAGGAGCTTCATCGTCACTCGACGATCCTTCGCTACTCGTCTCCTTGGCCGCCTTAGCTGGAGCCTTGGCAGCAGGCTTGGCCTTAGGCTTGGGCTTTTCGTCTTCAGAGCTCTCGCTATCATCCGAAGAGTCCTCGGACTCACCTGCCTTTTTAGCCGGAGCAGCTGCGGGTTTGGCTGCGGCCTTGGCAGCAGGCTTCTTGGCTGGCTCTTCCTCATCGGAATCGCTGTCCTCGCTGGAGGATTTCGCCTTCTTTGCCGGAGTGGCCTTTTCAGCTGGTTTGGCTGGAGCAGCCACCTTCTTCTTGGGAGGCTCTTCATCGGAATCGCTATCGTCACTGGACGATGCTGCTTTCTTGGCTGGGCTTGCCTTCACAGGGGCCGTCTTCTTAGGTGCTTCATCCTCAGAGGAACTATCCTCACTGGAGGACTCTTTCTTTGGCGCAGCCTTAGCTGGAGCCTTTGCAGCGGGCTTCTTTTCCTTCTCGGAGTCGCTCTCTTCACTCGAAGAGGCAGCAGGCTTGGCCGCAGCTTTCTTGGCTGGTACAGGCGCAGGCTTCTTGGCCGGCTCGTCATCAGAATCGCTCTCCTCACTTGAGGATTCGGCTTTCTTGGCAGGCGCAGACTTGGCAGGTGCCTTGGCCGCTGGTTTTGCTGTTTCCTCTTCGGAGCTGCTGTCTTCGCTACTGGATGCAGCCGTTTTGGCTGCAGTCGGCTTGACTGGTGCCTTGGGCACAGCATCCGGTTTCTTAGCCTCCTCAGAGTCGTCACTGTCCTCACTGGAGGAAGCAGCCGCCTTCTTTGCTGGAGCGGCACTTACTGGTGCAACTGCTGCTGCCTTCTTTGGTGGCTCTTCCTCTGACGAACTATCGTCACTGCTCGAGGCCTTGGCTGCCTTAGCGGCTTTGCCATTTGTCACTGGAGTAGCTGCTGGCTTCTTCGTTGGCGCTGGAGCTTCATCAGAGTCCGAATCACTGTCACTATCAGCGGCTGTCGCTTTAATGGCTGGGATTTTTGTCGTGCTCTTGGTCTGGTAAAATTGTACAATATCGGTCAGCTTTGGGGTGTTCTTGCCCACTGTGGCCTGTGGAGGAAAAGTATGGAATTCTTGGTTAGCAATTAGCACGTGGTCGCAGACAGACGAGCCGGAGCTCCATGTCAGGGAGACCGGGAGAACTACGGATCTGCAAAACTATCCAGATACATCTAACCTGCTCTGTTAAATGCACACAAAAACACTGGGCGGCTGCATGTTTTTTAAGTGCAGTAGATATTGCATTTGCCGCATACTAAAATAAATACACTTACCGCCTTCGTCTTTTGCTGGAACACTTTGGCCAGGTTCTTGTCCTTAGATTGTATATACTGTAGTACAATAGCGTCAGCTAAATTCTGAACGTCCGCCATATTTATTTCAATTATTTCACTATTTTATTTCAAAATCAAATCCAGCCACACGCTATGTTCACAATAAAAAGAAATGCACACACACGTGTTTTGTGACAGACGGCCCTCAAAAATATACCGAAACAGGTCTGCTATTTTCAGTTTCGAAAATACTGATGAAGAAAACTAGCTAACCCATTTAACCCCACAATATTTAAACTGTTTAAAACCGTGAGTTAAATCGCTGTAAACATTTCTGTTAGCAGGGCTCCTGGTAGCTCCTATTTTCCTCTTTACTTAACTTTACTTTACTTTACTTATAGCGGTAAATTAAAGAACATAGGGATCGTAGCTCCCAGTCGTTACATATTATTCCGATTTTCGATTTTAGCCGTTGGCAACATAAATTTGTGAAATTTGCGAAAAGTGCACGGATTGAGCTGCATTCTGTTACCCTTGGGAAAAGGAATTTATGGAATTGAGGACATTTTTATTCCGTTTCAACTGCAAACGTGCAAACGAATAGGTTAATAACATGATTTTCAAAGATAAAACGATAATATATGTTTCAAAGCCGCTGGAAAAATGAAATATTAACCTACTAAAATGGAGCAATTGAAAAGTTGTCAAGTGAAACATTTCATTCACACTACGTTACGTTGCATGCTTATTTTGTTGACCTTACTAGCTTATCACTCACTTTTAAATATTAAATTTAAATATTAAATAGAATTTCAAAATCTACGAAAATTATTTAGGATGCGGTATATTTACAAAATGGAAAAGTATATTTCGGTATATTTCTGAGTGCCAGGCGATATCTTATATCGATAGTTCCGTGGTAACACTGGAGGACACTGGAAAATTCTATAATACAAAAATAAACAATACAATACCCGTATATAAATCGTGCCACACAATATCAATTTCCTTCGGCCATGGCATCCGACAATGAGGATTCACCGTCGTCGCCGACTGGCGAAATCGCAGAGATACTTAAGTTGAATGACGATTGCCTGGAAGAGATTTTCGAGCGGTTGCCGGACTTGCAAACAGAAATTTACTTCTCCCAAGTCTGTCAGCGGTTTCAAAACATTTCCCTGGGAAAATGGAGGATCAGCCATACCTATGACACAATGGATCTTGAAAAATGGTAAATGTGTATATTTGCCCTTGAAACATTTATTGAGTATAATCAGGAATATGTGCATTCTTTACCAGGCGAGAGCTGCTGCCCAACTTTGAGGATTTATATTACTTCATTCATCTGCTGCAGCCGTACATAAAGGAGATGTATGTCAGTAGCTGTCTGTGCACATTGCTCAAAGATTTGGACGAAATACACATTACGGAGCTGCCCCAGGTGACCAGCTTCTACTACGATCCCGAGGACGTGGACTGCTATCCATCGAATCGAAGCATACGCAAGTTGACACTCATTGTGCCGGGGGTGCGCAGACTTCGCCTAACCACTCCTACAGATGGTCGCTATCTCTCGCACTTTAAGCACCTAGAAGAACTTCACTTGTATGAGGATCAGCACAAGGCCTACGAGCTGCGCCAGCAGTATCTGGATGAGGTTTGCCAGTAAGTAATGAATTGTGGAATCGCCGTTAGTTTGCCTCCTAATTCGCCACCTCTTCCTCAGTCGGTGCGACCTCAAAGTGCTGGATATACGAACATTCGATGGGGTCAGCAAGCTGCGCCTAAACAACTGCGTTAAATCTCTCCAGAGTCTCACCACCCTCAAGCTCAATCTCTCCACGATCAAGTCAGTCCTGCCCGAAATCATGAAGCTGCCGGCGCTCAAGCAGCTGGTAGTTCTCCTGTGTTCCGAATGGCATATTCCCGCAGAAGTCAGCCCGGACTGGTACGATCCCAAAATACGAGAAGTCGAGGAGTTCTATGCGATTATGGAGCAGAAGGCAAAGGAAATTATTTGCGTTGCCGTGGATGGCTACTACATGCCGCTGGAGCCGGGTTGGGATAAAAACTTGCCAATTTGGCCGCACAAGAATCTGCAGCGCCTGGCCATTTGCAGTTGGGATCATTCTACCGACTATCTTGAGCGGTACACCTGCATGAAGGATCTTCAACTGCTTTGCCTGCGAAATTGTACGCACCTGAACGATGATGTGCTTCTCAAATTCGTTGATCTATGCCCACGTCTGCAGCAGCTGGACGTGTCTTACTGTCGAGAGGTAACACCCAGTTTTCTCTCTCGAGCTTTGAAGATTCTCAAGCAAAAAGACCCGCATAGACAAAACTCGGGATATTGCAAGACCCCGCCGTTGTTTATCTTCTATGTCCTCAGTGGGTTCGAGGAGTATGTCGATAAAGAGGTGAGTAAATCAACCTCTATTATTGATCTGCATTTAATCGCTATACTTTTGGCTTTGCTCCTTGCAGAATCTGAAGACCTCTCCAGACTACAAGGATTATATTGTCTTTAAACCAGACTTTCCAGTCCGATCGGAGCGGGGGCTTAGCTTTGTCGATCGCGGCTATCAGTTCGAATTTATCTAAGCTCGAGTAAATACATACATATATGTAACAATATTAATTAATTATTACAAAATTCTGTTGCATAAAAAAACCAAAAACAAGACAATGTTAAATTAATACTATCGATTGGTATTCTAGTATTTTAATGTTAATATTTTCGGTAATTTTCACCAAAACGGTGATACTTTACACAATCCTGTATTATTTTTACAATACAATAAAATAAAAAAATTTATTTTAATTTTATTATTCAGTTCTGCAGATAAGTAAATATTATAGTTTTGGTATATCGATATATGGTTGAAATCATATGGAAATACTATCGATTGTATACAGCCAATTCTTCACGTTTTTGTTTTGAAACGGAATTGTGCAATATTTTGGCTATAAGTTTACGGAATTGCATTCAAAATTACATAAATAAAGTCCACAAAAAAATGAGTGACGGCAAGGAACAAAAGCCTGGCGATGGCATCCGCTCCATGCGCAGCACGGGCGTCTTCCGTTTGATCAACTTTGAGCTGTACACAAAGCCGGTGGGGATTAAGGATTGTGGATTGCGACACCAACATTCAAAGCTCTAACAGGTTTATTTTCTTTACAGAATATGATAGTCATGGGCCTGGGCCTGACTGCCATAACTGGAGTCTTTGGATACATTGCCTACATGCGGTACAAGTACCAAAGTCTGGGCTACTATGTGGCCGTCAAGGAGGACGGACGGGAGGAGTTCATCAAGAAGAAATCAAATTGGGAACTGTAGAAATGTATCTTTGTGGAAACTTCTTTATTCGCTTGTTAGCACAAGTTGGTACATAAATTTAGTTGTTTTTGTGTAACTGCTTGTTTGCCAAAAATGTTTAGAAATCACAATAGTAGAAAAATGTTTTTAACTAGAAACTTTTTGCGACACATCTCATCTCATTCGCAAAATGAGCGTAACAGCAGGAAAGGGAACAAGAACAAACAGTATATGAGGAAGGAGGAGGAGAGAAGGCAACTTTTGGTGGGTGTTATCACACAAATCAATGGCATTGTATTGTATTGTCCTTTTCCTCTAGCTTCTCTTCTCTCGCTCGTCGTCTAAATTTAGTCGGACAGCTTGAGCGCCTTGAGCTCGTCCAAGTAAGATGCTTCCATTTGAATCTTATTCAATTGATTCAGCTCGAGGCTTTCGCCTTGGCTCTGGCGAGACTTTAGTTTCTTGATATCCGAGAGCTTCTTGGCAACGGTCCGAATTTTGCGCTCCTTCTCGCTCGAGTTCTGGCCATTGGCCTGGGGATGTGGTTGCTGCTGCTGTTGTTGATGCGGCTGCTGATGATGGCGTTGTTGGTCAGCGGCATTCTGCTGTTGATATCTGGGTGCCTGAGGTCGTGTTTTAGGCGTGTGCTGTTGCTGGGTCTGAGATATCTGCTGTTCCTCTCCCGCCACCGTCACTGTCTCTGCCGCCGTAGCCGTACCCGTAGCAGTGCCTGGATCGCCACCATTCACAGCATTCACATCCCTCCTAAAGAACATAGGGATCGTAGCTCCCAGTCGTTACATATTATTCCGATTTTCGATTTTAGCCGTTGGCAACATAAATTTGTGAAATTTGCGAAAAGTGCACGGATTGAGCTGCATTCTGTTACCCTTGGGAAAAGGAATTTATGGAATTGAGGACATTTTTATTCCGTTTCAACTGCAAACGTGCAAACGAATAGGTTAATAACATGATTTTCAAAGATAAAACGATAATATATGTTTCNGGCCATTGGCCTGGGGATGTGGTTGCTGCTGCTGTTGTTGATGCGGCTGCTGATGATGGCGTTGTTGGTCAGCGGCATTCTGCTGTTGATATCTGGGTGCCTGAGGTCGTGTTTTAGGCGTGTGCTGTTGCTGGGTCTGAGATATCTGCTGTTCCTCTCCCGCCACCGTCACTGTCTCTGCCGCCGTAGCCGTACCCGTAGCAGTGCCTGGATCGCCACCATTCACAGCATTCACATCCCTCCTGGGGCCCTTTGGCTTATTCTTGTTGTTCTTCTTGTTGTTGGCACCACCTTGAAGGCAACAAAAGAAATGCAAACAGCAATTAGCAAACACATGGCCCGTCCCTACTTACGGCCATCATAATCAGTCCCTAATCCTAATTTGCATGTTTTACGAAATGTTTAAGGGAGTGAAGGAGGAGGATGAATCGTTAATTCTAGTATCGCTTATACTGATAGGGCCGATAGCGTCTGTTGGATCGATTTGAGACGGTGGCGGCAGCGTTTGCTGTTGATGCATCACGACCGTCGCGACCGATCGCCATTTGGCTTTGACCCTGTTCGGTCCGTCGCATGATCGGATTTTCCACGTCATATTGTCTGTGCCAAAACTTGCGCATTCCATTACCTGCTGATGCTGGTGCCAGTCCGGGTATGCTTGGCAAGTACTTTTCCGGATTCTTGCCCTCCTTCAGCAGGCGCAGATGGGGCGGCGTGTAGGCCTTTTTGCTGGCTTCTGGCTGACTGGATTTGATGCCCTCATGCTTCGCCTTGGTGATTTTCGGCTCAGTGAAGGTTCGATCTGCATACTGCTGCCACTCAATGCCGAGCAACTCCTGCCCCTTCGGCCACATGGT